GACACTTAGACACGTTTGCTGGACTCTATCTTTTGGTATGTTATTTTTAAGACCCTAAAGAATTTTTTAAGCGAAAAAAATTTTTCAATTTTTAAAAAAAGTTACTCAGATGTCCCCCCTTAAGATAAAAAAGGGTGTTTTTACGTTGAACACCGAAACTAGACATTTTTTGTCTATTTTAGTAGAGCCATGGATTGACTTTACTGTAAAAGGTTCAGCCCCGGGAGCGGAGTAATGAAATTTTTAGAAGTACCCGTATCCCCTAATATTCTTATTTATCTTCCTGCCACCTTACGGGTAATATAGGGGAGCAGGGACTTTATCCTAAAAAATTACAGGAGTCCTCTGCTTCTAGGTCGTCCTCTATTTCAATGGCGGAAGCTTGGGCGATTGAGTTGTAGTCCTCATTGTCGGATTCTTGCTCCGGCAAGAAGTTTATTTTTTGCGGGAACCGATTCGACTGCCCTTTTTGCCAATTTGTAGGTTGCTTGAACCGAGAGGAAGTGTCAACTTCCATCGGCTCTGGCGCTGGCTGTTTATTTTCTGCGTTATTATGCGGTCTTTGCCGCCTCCATGGCAGTGATTTGGACCTGTTGCATAAGCAAGATTTGGTCTTGTGCTTCTTTGCTGGTCGACTGACCCGCTTCAGAGTGAGCGTTTTGTTTTGGTTCCATTCTTTTCCTATATTCTTCGAGAACTTCCTCGTCGTACAGTTCCCTATTCATAAATCTGTGTTTTTATTCCCACCCTCCAAGTGCTGCAAGAGTGAAAAATGTAGAACAATTTATCGTTCGCCCACCCTCCAATTCCTGTAAGAGTAGTCGATACGCGTAGAGGTCGGAAGTTTCAAGAATCGCTTTTTTTTTAGATTTGGTGATTAATTTTCATTAACTAAAAATTGCATCGTCTTCACAGTTGGATTTTTTATAAATCGAAAAATGTAATTCCTGGTTTATTAATTATTGTTTTAATATAAAAATGAGTCCACTGTATTTATTCTGTACTTAAGGAATTTTTAGGTTTCAAGGAAATATTCCCGATTTATTTATTTGAATTTAATTTAATTAAATAAAATTAATTAATTTTAAATTTCGGTAAAATATTCCTGGCTTTATTTATTTTTAAATTTTACGTGGGAGAAATAGAACTATGCCCACTGTAATGGCAACTAAGCTAGATTTTAATTGGCGAAGACAAGAAGCCTACTCACATTTCTTATATTTATTCGCCGTCGTTACTGTCGCTGCCGTCGTCGCTGCTACCGTCGCTGCTACCGTCGTTGCTACCGTCGCACAGTAGCGCCTTTTCTCATTTTACGTTGCAAAAATCATAACTTTTGAACAAAATAAGATAACTACATAATTTAAACGCCATTTTATAGGTAATTGTTGTAAAATTTACATATGTATTGGAAAATCTGCCACGCCTACTCATTCGCCTTTTTAAAGGGTATCAAAGTAAAGAAATATTTTTTTCTCAATGAAGACAATTTTTTAAAAAATATTTTTTATTTAATTTTTTATCTTTATTTTTATGTATTTGCTCAGATGAAAATAGGTTGAAAACTGAAAAAAATTTTTTTTTTATTTCAACGTGTAACCACCACGCGCTACAGTTAGTATATTTTTTGGTTAGTATGGAGCTGAGTCGGTATTTTGGTATATTTAACCCTGAGTAGTTTTGGTTTATGCTGTTGCATTTCCGGGGACGCAGCTCGACGCAACAGATGTAAGTTGATTTTGGTCCAGAATAGATCCACAAAGGTCGTAGTTATAGTGTGTATAGTGGCTCAGCTCATCCAAAAAAGATGTAGACTACTTAAGCCAGAAAAAAGTGAAAAAAATGGACACCTGGCAGGTAGCGATTTACCTGTGCAAGCCCTAACCCAATTCCCCTTTTTTTTAGATTAGGTTACAGTTTATGAATGTGTCTATTATTTAAAGCAAAAATCATGGCGATAGGTAATATAGTTTTTGTGTAATATTACCTGAAAGTCAACAAATTTTTCCTTTTTTTTTCTTATGATGCAAAAATGGAAACAAAGTTCAACTTTGAATGCTCATATCTTCTACAAAAAAAATCCGAAAATTGATTTTACAGCAGATTCTGAATCCATGGGAAATTTCCTGTCGAATAAGTATGGTTAAAATCGTTTTTGCGACAACGACTTTTTCGATTTTTGCAACGGCTTTTGTTCGGGAGGCGCTACTGTGCGTCGCTGCTTGTCGTCGCTGCTTGTCGTCGCTGCTTGTCGTCGCTGCTTGTCGTCGCTGCCTGTCGTCGCTGCTGCCGTCGGTGTTTTTATTGTTCGGCTATGCGGAATGGCTCTGCCCTTGATGATTTGATTTATTTAATTTTTTTTGGCTATGCTGAATGGCTCTGCCAAATTTGTTGATTTTTTTCTTCTTGGCTATGCGGTGGCTATGCGGGAGGGCTCTGCCAATTTTTATACCATTGCAGGGTATTATAATTTCAGTCAGAAGTTTGCAACGCAGTGAAGGAGACCTTTCCGACCCTATAAAGTATATATATTCTTGATCAGCATCAACAGCCGAGTCGATCTAGCCATGTCCGTCTGTCCGTCCGTCCGTCCGTCTGTCCGTCTGTCTGTTTCTACGCAAACTAGTCTCTCAGTTTTAAAGCTATCTGAATGAAACTTTGCATATAGTCTTCTAAATACTCTCACTGCTATATATGTCGGAACGGGCCGGATCGGACGACTATATCATATAGCTGCCATTCAAATGATCGATAAATGTTTAGAAAAAAAATTACAACTTGGCTTTTTATCAACATTTATTATTAACGTTTAAATGTTTAAATTTAACATTAATAATAAATTAATATATATATAAGCTTATTTTATTTTTCTAGAATTTTGGTATAAATTTCATAAAAATCGGGCGACTATATCATATAGCTGCCATATAAACGATCGGTAGATGTAGAGAAAATGTAAAGCTGGGAATACAAAACTGCAACTGTCAAACTGTAAACATAATAAGTATAGGTAAAATGTAATGAAATAATATCTGCAAGGGTATACAAACTTCGGCGTGCCGAAGTTAGCTTCCTTTCTTGTTGTTGATAATTTTCCTAGGCTATGCGGGATGGCTCTGCCTAGTTTGTTGAAATATTTTTTTACAAGAAATTGTTTTTCGACCTTTTATTGGTCAATTTATCACACTGTTGCCACTGTTCGTCGCAATTTATGTTTGTCTAGAGAGGCTGTAAATGAAACGAGCGTCTGACGTTGTTGAGTTAATATTTCAAACTAAATTTTTTTTGTTCAAATCCTATCTTAAATAGCTAACATGAGAATGTACATTATTGATCTTAGTTCTAGACCCACGCATCGGACAGTTCCGGATCGTGGGAAATACTCTAAGTGCGATAAGGGAGCTCACAGTCACCCGATAGGACATATGGTATCTTAAACAAACCCAGACCGCTCGGAGGAGGTCATATTTCGGGTTGCTTGTATTTACGTAGGCCCAAGTGGCGGCTGTACTTATAGATAGACAAATGCAGTACATAGCTGCAAAGATTTAGTACCTAACATATGCATCTTATCTATGTATATATTTGTTCGTGTGTTCTTTCTGAACAATGTGTAACGGGCTGATTGTTGCCCTGGATATAACCAATACCGATACCGATAGTATGTAAGCGATAGTTGAACTGTACGATACGAGACGATACGATACCGATAGCGACAGTACGAAAGAAGAAGAGCAACGAGAGAATCAAGCGGACGCGGTCCAGATTTATTAACGCAGAATATTATTATATTCTTAAGTTCATCATGTTAAACCCCTTTTAACATATCCAATAAACATTACTCCACCACTCGGAAAAGCCATCCCTTCACAGTTCAGAAGTGGGATAATTCGAGTTGGCTATGGTTAAGAGGCAGTAACAGTGAGTGGGACACGGAAAAGCAGCAGCAGCAGAGTCGTCGGCGTGGGAAGTTTGTAATAGGTGTTCCCAAAGGTCTAGAGGACAACAGATTACAAATAGGGGATAGCGATCCTTTCCTACGTGGCTGATGGATTCAAAACGGAGTACTCAGGAGTCTTGGTGAACCTGAAGAGAGACATGCAAAAAACTTGTGTGTGTGTATGCGGAGCGTCGTTGTGAAATCATACAAAGGGCTAGTATGTGTGTGTAGCGTCGTTGTGAAATTCAAAGGAGGTGAATTTCACGAGTGGTGAAATAGCGATCTCGCTTGCAGACGGGCAAAAAGAGTTGCTCGTGGGTGCAAGATTGTTCGTGCAAACGATTGTGGTTGTACGTGCAAGGAAAACAGACAAACTTTGACGAAAGTTGCGATCATTTTTGGAGAAAATGGTCAAGATAGCAGAGCTCAAGGCAGACCAGTTGCGGTACCTGTTGAGAGAGAGGAACTTAGGAGTTGCGGGCTTCAGAGCAGAACTAGTGCAGAGACTAGTGGAACACGAAGATTCCGATGACGTGGATATGCCACAAGCAGCTGGAATCATGAACCAGCATGAGGAAACACTCGCAGCACAGGGAGCTGCGATTTCACAAATACAAGAACAGATGAAGACACTGACAACCATGATGACGCAGTTGGTCAACAATATGCCAATATGCCAATATGCCATCAGCAGCAGCAGCAGCAACGCGTGCAAGAAGTCAACGTAGACGAGAGGAGCGATTCTAACCCTGGAGAGCAGGCAGCGAACAATTTTAGACAAGCGTCGGTTAAGGAGATTGCAAATACCTTACCAGAATATGACCCCGGAGATGAGAATTCGATCTCAGTAAACCAGTTCATCGATCGTGTCAACAAGGTGGTTGGTGCGTATCAATGGGACGAGAAATTTGTACTTTTAGCTATCTACACGAAGCTGAAGGATCCCGCCAAAATGTGGCTCGATTCTTCGCAGGTTTTACACACAACATGGAATAGTTTTGCAGCAGCTATCCGAGAAGAGTTCGGAGCAGAACCAGACGAGGCAGAAATCAATTTCAACATGGCAAATGCAACCAGACGATCGAAGGAAACCGTAAAGGAGTATTGTTTCCGGATTTCAGCACTTGGAGTACGGTTCAAGCTTAGTGAAGCAGCAGTCATTCGATATGTTCGAGCAGGTCTACAGCACAGAGAGTTGCAAAACAGTATTGCAGCCATTCATTTTTCGTCGATGAAGAAGTTTCGAGATGCTGCTGAGTCATATTTTCTAAACAGAGGTCGACCGATTGCAAATAAGAAAGAGTACGTACCCAAATCCAGTTATTTTGAGGGAAAGCTGGAGAACGAGATGAAGCAACCGAAGCCAAAAGAAGCTAAAGCATGCTACAATTGCGGAGATCTTGGGCATTTTGCTAATTCGTGCCCAAAGGAGAGAAAGAAGACGCGCTGTTCCAAATGTAATACATTTCATGCCACCAATGAAAGCTGCAACGTCGCACAGGTGATGCGTTTGGGTGCATCAAATCAAGACAAGCTGTTCACAAGAAAAGTATACCTCAACGAGCAAGGGTATAACGCATTCATTGACACTGGAAGCCAAACGAGTATCATTCGCCAATCAGTTGCTGACGAGATCGACCCAGATCGCCAGACTTGTTCTATAAAAATTGTGGGCATTTGTGGAGGCTCACGAATCCTTACTGAAGCCATAGTTATGGACATCACTATTGCTGGAAAAGTCGTAACAGCCAAAGTCTACATCGCAGAAGACAACTTACTACAGAAAGACTTATTATTGGGACAAGATGTGATCACCTGCGCTGAATTATTGTTGAAGTTCGAGCCATGCGAGTCAGAAGTCAAGAGAGCCGTTAACACTTTCAACCGAGAGTAATTTTCACAAGCTTCTTGTTATTTTCTAGATCGATTCCGAAAGAGAGCAAGTTCGTAGTCTGTTGGAGAAGTTTGCTGACGTTTTCTCCACAGGATTGCAAGGCATAGGCAAGACAAACATCGTCCAGGCAAAAATTGTTGTTGAGGGTAACCAAGTAGTTTCCCAAGCCCCATATCGAGTCTCCGAGCCAATGAAGGAAGTTGTCGGCAAAATGGTTGACGAACTTTTGAAGCTAGACATTATCACTCCATCTACATCAGAGTACGCTAGCCCGGTGGTGCTTATCAAGAAACCGAACGGAAGTGATCGACTTTGCATCGATTACCGTCGTCTGAACAAGCTGATCAAGAAGGAAAACTTTCCAGTACCAAACATTGAAGAGAGGCTGCAGGAAGCGAAGCGCTTCAAATACTTTTCGTCGTTAGATTTGAATAGCGGCTATTATCAGATCGAAAAGGAACCCGAGAGCAGAAAATTCACTGCGTTTATCACCACAGATGGAATGTACGAGTTCAAACGTCTTCCGTTTGGGCTGAAGAATGCACCGGCTGTATTCAATAGACTCATTGCAGAGCTGCAGAGGCGTGTGCAGAAAGGCGACATGATGCACTACATGGATGACATCCTAATTGGCAGCCAAACATTTGACGAGATGTACGAGAAGCTAGAGAGAGTTCTACGAGTATTGCGAGAATGCGGATTAACTTTGAATGTCGACAAATGTGAGTTATATAAGCAGTCAATCACATTTTTAGGTCATCAAATACACACTGATGGAATCAGCCCTGGAGAAGTCAAGACTAATGCCATTGTAGAGTTTGAAAAGCCGAATAATGTAACCGAAGTGCGACAGTTTTTGGGTCTCACTGGATATTTCCGGAAATTTGTTGCCGGATATGCGATTATATCAGAACCACTGCGAATCCTTTTGCGCAAGGACCAACAATTTAAATGGGAACAGCCACAAGAAGATGTATTTCAAGAACTAAAGAGATGCCTTACGTCGAAACCTGTTGTAACTAGCTACCGCTTAGATGCTGAACACGAAGTCCATACAGATGCGAGCGCCGTTGGATTAGCCGGAGTTTTGTTGCAGAAATATGAAGATCAGCTGAAGCCAATCGCATACAATAGCAGAGCCACTTCCAAACCAGAGAAAAACTATCACAGCTACGAACTAGAAGCCTTAGCCGTTGTCGAATCCTTGAGCGATTCAAATACTATATTTATGGCAAAATAATAAAGGTTGTCACTGATTGCAACGCTTTGAAGACGTCTATGGAAAAACGCGAGCTGATACCCCGAATAGCAAGATGGTGGTTACGAATCCAGGAGTTTGACATCGACATCGTTCATCGAGCAGAAACACAGATGGGTCACGTTGACGCGCTAAGTAGAGCGCCTTTTGAAGACGCACATGAGATGGATACAGCATCCCTGAAGATCTCGAAGACAATTATTGACGAAGCTGATTGCTATACAACTTCAAGACGAAAAGATACAGAAAATTGTTGCTGATATGAAAACCGAAAAGAAATCGGAAAACGACGAGTATGTGACCGAGCAGGATCGCCTGTTTCGCAAATATGACAACAAATTGCTATGGGTTGTGCCGAAGCAGCTGAGATTCCATATCCTACACGAGTGCCACGATAAAGCCGGACACATGAGCACAGATAAAACCATCAGCAGAATTATGAATTTGTTTTGGTTTCCCCGAATGCGTAACTTTGTTAAAAGCTATGGAGCTGAGTCGGTATTTTGGTCTATTTAACCCTGAGTAGTTTTGATTTATGCTGTTGCATTTCCGGGGACGCAGCTCGACGCAGCAGATGTAAGTTGATTTTGGTCCAGAATAGATCCACAAAGGTCGTAGTTATAGTGTGTATAGTGGCTCAGCCCATCCAAAAAAGATATAGACTACTTAAGCCAGAAAAAAGTGAAAAAAATGGACACCTGGCAGGTAGCGATTTACCTGTGCAAGCCCTAACCTAATTCCCCTTTTTTTAGATTGGGTTACAGTTTATGAATGTGTCTATTATTTAAAGCAAAAATCATGGCGATAGGTAATATAGTTTTTGTGTAATATTACCTGAAAGTCAACAAATTTTTCCTTTTTTTTTCTTATGATGCAAAAATGGAAACAAAGTTCAACTTTGAATGCTCATATCTTCTACAAAAAAATCCGAAAATTGATTTTACAGCAGATTCTGAATCCATGGGAAATTTCCTGTCGAATAAGTATGGTTAAAATCGTTTTTGCGACAACGACTTTTTTCGATTTTTGCAACGGCTTTTGTTCGGGAGGCGCTACTGTGCGTCGCTGCTTGTCGTCGCTGCTTGTCGTCGCTGCTTGTCGTCGCTGCTTGTCGTCGCTGCCTGTCGTCGCTGCTGCCGTCGGTGTTTTTATTGTTGGGCTATGCGGAATGGCTCTGCCCTTGATGATTTGATTTATTTAATTTTTTTGGCTATGCTGAATGGCTCTGCCAAATTTGTTGATTTTTTTCTTCTTGGCTATGCGGTGGCTATGCGGGAGGGCTCTGCCAATTTTTATACCATTGCAGGGTATTATAATTTCAGTCAGAAGTTTGCAACGCAGTGAAAGAGACCTTTCCGACCCTATAAAGTATATATATTCTTGATCAGCATCAACAGCCGAGTCGATCTAGCCATGTCCGTCTGTCCGTCCGTCCGTCCGTCTGTCCGTCTGTCTGTTTCTACGCAAACTAGTCTCTCAGTTTTAAAGCTATCTGAATGAATGAATATACTCTCACTGCTATATATGTCGGAACGGGCCGGATCGGACGACTATATCATATAGCTGCCATTCAAATGATCGATAAATGTTTAGAAAAAAATTACAACTTGGCTTTTTATCAACATTTATTATTAACGTTTAAATGTTTAAATTTAACATTAATAATAAATTAATATATATATAAGCTTATTTTATTTTTCTAGAATTTTGGTATAAATTTCATAAAAATCGGGCGACTATATCATATAGCTGCCATATAAACGATCAGTAGATGTAGAGAAAATGTAAAGCTGGGAATACAAAACTGCAACTGTCAAACTGTAAACATAATAAGTATAGGTAAAATGTAATGAAATAATATCTGCAAGGGTATACAAACTTCGGCGTGCCGAAGTTCGCTTCCTTTCTTGTTGTTGATAATTTTCCTAGGCTATGCGGGATGGCTCTGCCTAGTTTGTTGAAATATTTTTCTACAAGAAATTGTTTTTCAACCTTTTATTGGTCAATTTATCACACTGTTGCCACTGTTCGTCGCAATTTATGTTTGTCTAGAGAGGCTGTAAATGAAACGAGCGTCTGACGTTGTTGAGTTAATATTTCAAACTAAATTTTTTTTGTTCAAATCCTATCTTAAATAGCTAACATGAGAATGTACATTATTGATCTTAGTTCTAGACCCACGCATCGGACAGTTCCGGATCGTGGGAAATACTCTAAGTGCGATAAGGGAGCTCACAGTCACCCGATAGGACATATGGTATCTTAAACAAACCCAGACCGCTCGGAGGAGGTCATATTTCGGGTTGCTTGTATTTACGTAGGCCCAAGTGGCGGCTGTACTTATAGATAGACAAATGCAGTACATAGCTGCAAAGATTTAGTACCTAACATATGCATCTTATCTATGTATATATTTGTTCGTGTGTTCTTTCTGAACAATGTGTAACGGGCTGATTGTTGCCCTGGATATAACCAATACCGATACCGATAGTATGTAAGCGATAGTTGAACTGTACGATACGAGACGATACGATACCGATAGCGACAGTACGAAAGAAGAAGAGCAACGAGAGAATCAAGCGGACGCGGTCCAGATTTATTAACGCAGAATATTATTATATTCTTAAGTTCATCATGTTAAACCCCTTTTAACATATCCAATAAACATTACTCCACCACTCGGAAAAGCCATCCCTTCACAGTTCAGAAGTGGGATAATTCGAGTTGGCTATGGTTAAGAGGCAGTAACAGTGAGTGGGACACGGAAAAGCAGCAGCAGCAGAGTCGTCGGCGTGGGAAGTTTGTAATAGGTGTTCCCAAAGGTCTAGAGGACAACAGATTACAAATAGGGGATAGCGATCCTTTCCTACGTGGCTGATGGATTCAAAACGGAGTACTCAGGAGTCTTGGTGAACCTGAAGAGAGACATGCAAAAAGCTTGTGTGTGTGTATGCGGAGCGTCGTTGTGAAATCATACAAAGGGCTAGTATGTGTGTGTAGCGTCGTTGTGAAATTCAAAGGAGGTGAATTTCACGAGTGGTGAAATAGCGATCTCGCTTGCAGACGGGTAAAAAGAGTTGCTCGTGGGTGCAAGATTGTTCGTGCAAACGATTGTGGTTGTACGTGCAAGGAAAACAGACAAACTTTGACGAAAGTTGCGATCATTTTTGGAGAAAATGGTCAAGATAGCAGAGCTCAAGGCAGACCAGTTGCGGTACCTGTTGAGAGAGAGGAACTTAGGAGTTGCGGGCTCCAGAGCAGAACTAGTGCAGAGACTAGTGGAACACAAAGATTCCGATGACGTGGATATGCCACAAGCAGCTGGAATCATGAACCAGCATGAGGAAACACTCGCAGCACAGGGAGCTGCGATTTCACAAATACAAGAACAGATGAAGACACTGACAACCATGATGACGCAGTTGGTCAACAATATGCCAACAGGTAATCAGCAGCAGCAGCAGCAACGCGTGCAAGAAGTCAACGTAGACGAGAGGAGCGATTCTAACCCTGGAGAGCAGGCAGCGAACAATTTTAGACAAGCGTCGGTTAAGGAGATTGCAAATACCTTACCAGAATATGACCCCGGAGATGAGAATTCGATCTCAGTAAACCAGTTCATCGATCGTGTCAACAAGGTGGTTGGTGCGTATCAATGGGACGAGAAATTTGTACTTTTAGCTATCTACACGAAGCTGAAGGATCCCGCCAAAATGTGGCTCGATTCTTCGCAGGTTTTACACACAACATGGAATAGTTTTGCAGCAGCTATCCGAGAAGAGTTCGGAGCAGAACCAGACGAGGCAGAAATCAATTTCAACATGGCAAATGCAACCAGACGATCGAAGGAAACCGTAAAGGAGTATTGTTTCCGGATTTCAGCACTTGGAGTACGGTTCAAGCTTAGTGAAGCAGCAGTCATTCGATATGTTCGAGCAGGTCTACAGCACAGAGAGTTGCAAATCAGTATTGCAGCCATTCATTTTTCGTCGATGAAGAAGTTTCGAGATGCTGCTGAGTCATATTTTCTAAACAGAGGTCGACCGATTGCAAATAAGAAAGAGTACGTACCCAAATCCAGTAATTTTGAGGGAAAGCTGGAGAACGAGATGAAGCAACCGAAGCCAAAAGAAGCTAAAGCATGCTACAATTGCGGAGATCTTGGGCATTTTGCTAATTCGTGCCCAAAGGAGAGAAAGAAGACGCGCTGTTCCAAATGTAATACATTTCATGCCACCAATGAAAGCTGCAACGTCGCACAGGTGATGCGTTTGGGTGCATCAAATCAAGACAAGCTGTTCACAAGAAAAGTATACCTCAACGAGCAAGGGTATAACGCATTCATTGACACTGGAAGCCAAACGAGTATCATTCGCCAATCAGTTGCTGACGAGATCGACCCAGATCGCCAGACTTGTTCTATAAAAATTGTGGGCATTTGTGGAGGCTCACGAATCCTTACTGAAGCCATAGTTATGGACATCACTATTGCTGGAAAAGTCGTAACAGCCAAAGTCTACATCGCAGAAGACAACTTACTACAGAAAGACTTATTATTGGGACAAGATGTGATCACCTGCGCTGAATTATTGTTGAAGTTCGAGCCATGCGAGTCAGAAGTCAAGAGAGCCGTTAACACTTTCAACCGAGAGTAATTTTCACAAGCTTCTTGTTATTTTCTAGATCGATTCCGAAAGAGAGCAAGTTCGTAGTCTGTTGGAGAAGTTTGCTGACGTTTTCTCCACAGGATTGCAAGGCATAGGCAAGACAAACATCGTCCAGGCAAAAATTGTTGTTGAGGGTAACCAAGTAGTTTCCCAAGCCCCATATCGAGTCTCCGAGCCAATGAAGGAAGTTGTCGGCAAAATGGTTGACGAACTTTTGAAGCTAGACATTATCACTCCATCTACATCAGAGTACGCTAGCCCGGTGGTGCTTATCAAGAAACCGAACGGAAGTGATCGACTTTGCATCGATTACCGTCGTCTGAACAAGCTGATCAAGAAGGAAAACTTTCCAGTACCAAACATTGAAGAGAGGCTGCAGGAAGCGAAGCGCTTCAAATACTTTTCGTCGTTAGATTTGAATAGCGGCTATTATCAGATCGAAAAGGAACCCGAGAGCAGAAAATTCACTGCGTTTATCACCACAGATGGAATGTACGAGTTCAAACGTCTTCCGTTTGGGCTGAAGAATGCACCGGCTGTATTCAATAGACTCATTGCAGAGCTGCAGAGGCGTGTGCAGAAAGGCGACATGATGCACTACATGGATGACATCCTAATTGGCAGCCAAACATTTGACGAGATGTACGAGAAGCTAGAGAGAGTTCTACGAGTATTGCGAGAATGCGGATTAACTTTGAATGTCGACAAATGTGAGTTATATAAGCAGTCAATCACATTTTTAGGTCATCAAATACACACTGATGGAATCAGCCCTGGAGAAGTCAAGACTAATGCCATTGTAGAGTTTGAAAAGCCGAATAATGTAACCGAAGTGCGACAGTTTTTGGGTCTCACTGGATATTTCCGGAAATTTGTTGCCGGATATGCGATTATATCAGAACCACTGCGAATCCTTTTGCGCAAGGACCAACAATTTAAATGGGAACAGCCACAAGAAGATGTATTTCAAGAACTAAAGAGATGCCTTACGTCGAAACCTGTTGTAACTAGCTACCGCTTAGATGCTGAACACGAAGTCCATACAGATGCGAGCGCCGTTGGATTAGCCGGAGTTTTGTTGCAGAAATATGAAGATCAGCTGAAGCCAATCGCATACAATAGCAGAGCCACTTCCAAACCAGAGAAAAACTATCACAGCTACGAACTAGAAGCCTTAGCCGTTGTCGAATCCTTGGAGCGATTCAAATACTATATTTATGGTAAAATAATAAAGGTTGTCACTGATTGCAACGCTTTGAAGACGTCTATGGAAAAACGCGAGCTGATACCCCGAATAGCAAGATGGTGGTTACGAATCCAGGAGTTTGACATCGACATCGTTCATCGAGCAGGAACACAGATGGGTCACGTTGACGCGCTAAGTAGAGCGCCTTTTGAAGACGCACATGAGATGGATACAGCATCCCTGAAGATCTCGAAGACAATTATTGACGAAGCTGACTGGTTGTTTGCTATACAACTTCAAGACGAAAAGATACAGAAAATTGTTGCTGATATGAAAACCGAAAAGAAATCGGAAAACGACGAGAATGTGACCGAGCAGGATCGCCTGTTTCGCAAATATGACAACAAATTGCTATGGGTTGTGCCGAAGCAGCTGAGATTCCATATCCTACACGAGTGCCACGATAAAGCCGGACACATGAGCACAGATAAAACCATCAGCAGAATTATGAATTTGTTTTGGTTTCCCCGAATGCGTAACTTTGTTAAAAGCTTCATAAAATCCTGTGTAGGCTGCGTTATGTATAAAACACCAGGTGGACGACACGAAGGTCAGTACCACTATGATGACATCAAGCCGATTCCCTTTTCCACCGTACACATGGATCATCTGGGACCTTTTCCAAAGAGTTCGAAGCGAAATGAACATATCCTCGTACTTGTCGACGCTTTCACCAAGTTCACCATAGTTCGAGCAATAAAAAGTACAGCAACTAAACACGTTATTGATGCCCTGCAAGAAGTCACCAGCTACGTGGGAATGCCAGAGAGAATTGTCACCGACCGAGGTACCGCTTTTACCTCAAAAGATTTTAAGAAATACTGCAAATCAAACAATGTGAAGCACATCCTTAACGCTGTCAGAACACCAAGAGCCAACGGTCACGCAGAACGCACAAACCGAATTATTTTGTCAATGCTATTACCTTCAAACGAGAACGAAAAACGCTGGGACGAGAAGATGCGATCAATCCAGTGGAGCATCAACACCATGGTAAACAGCACTACTAAATGTTCCCCAGTTCAGCTACTATATGATTACGAGCCCTGAGATGTACTCAAGAACACGCTGACGAGCGTGATCCAAAATCAAGACACGAGCATGATGACAGACGCCGAGTTGGAGAAGCTCCGAGCTGACGCTGTGACCACAGTTAACGACCACAGAGCCGCCGCCAAGAGACGATATGATGCCAGCCATTCCAAACCAACAGTTTATAGCACCGGAGACATTGTCTTGGTGGAAAACGAGCCGTTTAGCACGGGCACATTGCGCAAATTAGAGCCGCGCTACAAAGGTCCTTTTATTATATCCAAGGTGTTGCCCAACGACCGATATCTAGTTGAAGATATCCCACACGCACAACGAAAGCAGAGACACTACAAGTCAGTGTATTCATCTGATAAGATGAAGCGCTGGTGCGAACTTCCACCCGATGAGCCAGATGAAGATGACGGCGAAGATGACGAATCAGACCAATAATCTCGCGAGGACGCTACGATGTCAGGAGAGGCCGAATGTAACGGGCTGGTTGTTGCCCTGGATACAACCAATGCGATACCGATAGTATGTAAGCGATAGTTAGACTAGCGACAGTACGAAAGAAGAAGAGCAACGAGAGAATCAAGCGGACGCGGTCGAGATTTATTAACGCAGAATATTATTTCCTTAAGTTCATCCTGTTAAACCCCTTTTAACATATCCAATAAACATTACTCCACCACTAGGGAAAGCCATCCCTTCAGAAATGTTTGTGTTTTGTTTTTTGTATTTTCAGCTTCTGTTCGCTGAATTCACTGCACAGAGTTTTTTTTATATATTTTTTTACACCAAGATGAGAATTCTCTTCACGGATTTTTTTGTAACTTTTTACAAAAATAATTCACAGGTTCCGCGCGAGTGCTCTTTTTTTATTTTTCGGCTAACTTCTTTTAAACGCGGTCGTGAGATCGGTTGCGTTGGGCG